CTCATCCAGTGAGCTAGTCTAGGGATAAGCAAACTATAGTCTCACATATTTTTGTATGGTCCATGAGCTCACAGTGGGTTTTATATTGAAACCATAAGGGATAGAAAGAACAAATGAAGAAGAATGTGTGACAGAGATGACATAAGGCCCACAAGACCTAACATAATTACTAACTGGCCCTTTATGGGCAAAGTTTGTTGAGTACAGATCAGGAAGTACACCTGATTTGCCTGGCCATACTCCTGCGCATTGGATATGTCAAATTATCTGTTTCTCTGAGTAGTTCAATAGACATTCACCAGACTAGTGCCTATTCCCTTCCCTGAAAAAGAACTGTGAGGCTTGGCCTCAGAAGAATTTTGAGTGACATGTAAATCTCTTCTGGGCTCTTTGGCACTTGGCAGTATCTCCTTCAGATAACCAGATACAAATGGGCCGTTTCTTCCCATTATGCTCCTTTGTCAGGGACCTGTCAAGATCGCACATCTGGGGAAGTTAGATGTCATTCAGGACAAGGCTCTTGGCATACTTCAAGAATGTTAATTGCCAAGTGACGGCTAAAGCAGAAGGGCTTAATAATGCCTGTAAGTTGCCTTAAATGTACATGGGCCCAGAACTGTAGAATTGGAAAAGGTCTTAGAGATCATCAACTGTGGGGTGGTTCTTAAGAACTTGGGCTGTGGAGCCAGACTGCATGGCTCTTCTACTTAATCCTCTCTCTGTCTCAGTTTCCTCACCTTGACGTGGGGATAATAATAGTGTCTGTCTCACTGTGCTTTGTGAATATTCACTGTGTCAGCATTTCACATACTGACAGGTCAAATATTAACATTAACATGTAAAACAGTGCTGTCTGGCACACTGTAAACACTCACAGGTCTTGTTTGTATTGCTGTCAAATTTTATTATTTCTATCAGTAGTATTTGAATTTCAGTTTAAGTAAGCTTGTACAAATCTTTATTTCCATTTCACTTGAAAGAACGTGACAGAAAGTGACAAGAGATCTTCCATCTGCTGGTTCACTTCTCACAGGACTGAAAGGATTTTCCTCACTTACATGACATGCAATGTGGATGAAAACCTGGACCCTGCTCTCAGCTGAATGCTTTTTAGGATGTGTTGTTTTTGCTTGGGTGTTAGTGGATGTGGATGCTTTTTAATAGGTAGAAAAAAAATACGTAGTGGCTTTTTGCATGAAATTTCACAGATGCTAAATAGAACACCATTAATGATTTTTCTGAGGCATTTGAAATCTCTTTTTAGTGTCCTTTATTGCTTAGATTATGTAGCCAATGTATAGCTCTGTCCTCATCTATGTAGGTTTCATAGCCAACTCTTTGTTCTTGAAAGCCAGGTAAAATTATTCTGTTAAGTACATACAGTTTCGTGGCATTGGGTATATTTATAGTGTTATACATCACCCAAATTGGAAAATGTTTTCTTCATCATGAAAGAGAACTCTGTAGCTGTTAAGGAGTCCCTCTTCATTTGGCCTGCCTCCAACCCCTGACAGACACCAGTCTGCTTGCCATTGTGTGCATTCTATGCATTTGCCTTTTACATGTAGGCAGTTTACATAAATGGGATTATAATGCCCGACATTTTCTGTTATGAGGTGCATTCACATGCCATGTGTATCTGAACTTCATTCCTCTTTAGCATCAAGTACCATCCCATTGCATTGAAATACCACATCTAATTTATCTGTTTATCTGTTGGTTTGCACAGTTGAGCTGTTTCTAGCTTTTGGCATTGTGAATAGTGCTGCTGTGAACATAGGTGCTCCAGTATTTGTTGGAGTGCCTGTTTTCAATTCTTTTAAATTTGTGCTTAGTAGCGGAGTTGCTGAGTCATATTATAATTCTATTTATCTTTTTGAGAAATTGTAAATGCCTTTTCTACCAGTGACCATTTTATTTAATTAATTAATTCATCTATCTATCTATCTATCTATCTATCTATCTATCTATCTATCTATCTATTTATTTTAGCAAAAGTGCATGAGGGCCCAGGTTTCTCCACATCTTTGTATTTATGTATGTATATACATGTGCGTATAAGTGGAATTATGCAACATTATCCTTTGACTTATTTTATGTAACATCATATACTCAAGGTTTATCTGCATTATAGCATGTGCCAGCAATTCTTTCCTTTGAGTACTATTTTGCTGTAAGAATATGCTACTTTTTTAAATCCATTTTTTCTGTGGACTTGTGTATTGGTCTTTCCTTAAGATGTTGTAGTTGATATTGTTATGGCTTACAAATATCTCTTTGAGAACTTTTAATTCTTTTGAGTATGCATGCAGTAATAGTTGCTGGGTTATATGGTATATGATATAATCCTTTTAGTATGTTACTAAACATTTTTGCCAGTATTTTATTTTATTGTATTTCCTTCCTTCCTTTCTTCCTTCCTTCCTCTCTCCCTCCCTCTCTTCCTTCCTTCCTTTTCATTTTTCTTTCATTTTTGCTTTCTTTTTCTCCCTCCCTCCCTCCCTCCCTCCCTCCCTTCCTTCCTTCCTTCCTTCCTTTCTTTCTTTTTCTTGTTCTTTCTTTCTCATAACTAGTACAATTCATCAGTTAAATTATCTGGTTCTGGACTTTTTTTTTTCTAGCACTCATAATTACTAATCCAATCATTATTTCTGTTGTACAACTATCCAGATTTTCCACTTTCCCCCCTTTTTTTTGCTTTGTGTATTCATAGAAATTTCCATTTGACCTAGCTTATCTGATTTGTCGGCATGCAATTCTTCATAATTTTCTTCAATAATCCTTTTTATTGCTGTAAGGGTAGTGATTCCTATTTCTATTCCTGATTTTCATTGTTTGAGTCTACTTTCTTTTTCTTTTTGTCATTTTAAGTTAAAGTTTGTCTATGTTGTTGATCTTTCCAAAGAACTAACTTTTGTTTTTGTTGATTTTTCTCTGTTTTCAGGAAGTCTTTATTCTTTGTATTTTATTATTATTTTTTATTGGAAAGGCGGATATACAGAGAGGAGAGACAGAGAGGAAGATCTTCCGTCCGATGATTCACTCCCCAAGTGAGCTCAATGGCCGATGCTATGCCGATCCGAAGCCAGGAGCCTCTTCCGGGTCTCCCACGCGGGTGCAGGGTCCCAAAGCTTTGGGCCGTCCTCGACTGCTTTCCCAGGCCACAGGCAGGGAGCTGGAAGGGAAGTGGGGCTGCCGGGATTAGAACCGGTGCCCATATGGGATCCCGGGCGTGCAAGGCGAGGACTTAACCACTTGCGCCACTGCGCCGGGCCCTATTCTTTGTATTTTATACTGGCATTATAGCAGGTGCTTACTGTGGTGCTTTTTACGTACTTTTCGCTTTACAAATATTAATCTTTTTGTCCAGATAAGTTCAATGGTTTTTTTGGGGAGATCATCTCTGGTCTGAAGGTAGAGCCAGCAGAGTATCATCCAATCAATTAAAAGCCCAACATTACGTCAGTAACAATTTGTAACGTTATGGAATTAGTTGACGTGATATTGAGTAACCAATGTGTTAAAAGAGAAAAAAAAAGAATGCAAGTTATGAACCACATACTGTGACTTCTACATTGACATTTCAATTACAACTGGGTTCTATACACCTTAAAATGGCTACTAATTACTATTCAGCTGTCTCATGTCTATTTTAATTTTAGCATTTAGCAGTTTATAGCGTTGAAGCATGATTTTGCTGAACCTGGCTGTTTTTCGGGTAGTCTAACTCTATAACTCTAACAAGACATATGTCAACAGTTTAGGTGAACAGTTTTAGGAGGGGTGTGCAGAGAAATCTTCAATACCCCAGTGAGGGGTAACTAATCTCTGTGTCCCACCCAGTGAGTTATAAGTGCATCCCCGCTGACTGTTTCTGTTTCTAGGCTTTCCTTGTTGTTCTCTATCTATTCTAGTTTTTTTGTTTATTTGTTTGTTTGTTTTGAGGGGTTTCTGGAGCTATCCCAATGGTCATTACAAGAGAGGTTGGGGACCCAAAGTCGGAACCAGGCAAGGACCAGAGAAGCTCCTCTCCCTAGTCCCGAAGGAAGTTTGCTGTTCTGTTTCTACGGACTGCTCAGTGCTCCTGGTTGTCCTTCTGATGACCTTGGATCCTGCAAGGCAGGATTTTGGCTTCTTCCATCCCGTGTGGGAGATCCAAAAGGGGGTGGATGCTGGACTTTATGTTTGGTAGATGCTTGCAATGAAAGAATCTCAACTGAATTTGAACTGTGGTAATGCAACAAGGTGGAGGAATCCACCATGGGGGAGTTTGGGGAGGAGTAGGAGGAATCCAGTGCCTATAAAACTGTGTCACATAATGCAATGTAATCAATAAAAAAAAAACAAATATTAGTGTTTTTAATTTCAAAAACCATTTGTGAGGTAGATGCTCTCCTCATCTCTGTTTTACAGATAGAAAATTGTAAAACAGTGAAACTCATGGAATTATAACCTTTGCTTAGAATTACAGACCTGTTATACTAACGGCAGGGATAGAAATCCTGCTGATGAGGGTCCACTAGGTTTTCTTAGCTACTATTGTTCCATCTTTCTTAAATGTTCTTATGGAAATGGTACTATGTTCTCTTTAAAGCCATGCTTTCTCCTCTGTATCCCTGAGTGGAGGTGTTTATTTTTCATATTCCTAAACAGAACTTGGAATAAATTATTCCCACAAAAACTGTATCTAATAGCTAGGCACAGTTGAAAATACTGTTAATACTCTTCTTTAGTCACATAATATATTCAGAAGACTTCTGGAGATTCCTGGGGAATTTTCTGCAATTTGTAATGAAAAACATTGTTTATGTAAGAAGCACATTTTCTTTAAATGTCCTTACCTGAAAGATTAGACTTTAGCTATGTGAAAATTACACTTTACTATTTGGAATCTCTAAAATTTTAAGTTAAGTGTTTATATGTTATTTTTTCTTAAAGCAAAAGTGATTAATTTGTGCACAGATTTTGTTTGGGTTAATTTGTTGATTAATGTCTTTCAGGGTTACTCAAATGCTCAAAAGAGCAATCTTCAGGTGGATCAGAACTGTGTTCGCAATTCTTACGATGTCTTCTCTTTGCTACGGTAAGAAGCTGCTTTGGTGTCTTCCTGAATTCTACAGAATCTTCCTCATTTTGAATTTGGGACATCTCAAATGTGAGGAAGTGTGCCAGAGCTTTAGAAACTGTTATTCAGGCTTAGCAGATTTAACTGAAGCCTTCCTAAGCCACAGTGATTCAAGCTTATCTCTTTCACAAGGTTTTTGGAAAATCATTTCCTCTTTCTGGGTACTGGGAAAATTGATAAAACCAGTGATCTTGAAGTAGGCCCATGAACTGAGTTCTGGCATCCTGCGTTCTAAAGAGCAGCACTCAGAGGTGTACAGTTTCGACTCACTGAAGTCTTAACAGCTACAGGGTCACTGGAAAACTCCCTAACAGTCCCAGACATGGCTGCCAGCTTTGACCTGCTCTTCATCTTGATAGAATCGTGTTTGACAAACCAAAGGAGCTTTGTATGAATCTAAAGTTCAGAGGCCTAAATGTCTCAGCTCGGTATTTTCATAATGTCTGGGCTTAATTTTGCAAGATTTTAAAATTTGGCTTTAATTTTGAATGTGGTAGATCATCAAGGAAATTTTCCCAGGGGGCAAGCTACCAAAATAAATGCAATTGAAAATAAAGTTAACAGTGACGTTCAACCAGTGTTCACCCTCCTCAGACAGATTGTTCATTGACATTTGATTTTGGCAGTATTTTTCTAATGTTGACATAACACTTCATAAATTTTAGACCATTAGACATGCTCTATGTATCTACTCGGGGAAGAGTCAGAAAGATGACTGGAGAAGTGGTTATTTTATAAGTATTATAAAATTGCCCTTTCCTTTTTAAATGCTGAATTGTGTACGTGATGAAATAGAGTTTAGTTTCATGGACTGCGTAAATCACTCTTAAGAGGCAGTGACTTTGCCTACAGTAAGCACTTGATGTGTGATGACTTGCCTCTTATCTGAGAGGTGCCTTCATCTTCACTGCTAAGAACTTGGGAAGGAGAACCTTTTTCTGCCAAGGGCCATTGGGAAACTTAGAACATGATTCATGGGCCGTACATAATGATCAGTGTAAAAATTAGCCTGTTATAGCTTTATTGAATTTCAAGTCCCAGTTGTGGTTGCCTTGGCAAAACCAGAATAAATGAATTTGTAGGCCTTATGTGACCCATGGGCCAGATGTTCCCCACCCTGGCTTAGAATATAGACCATAGCAGACAGGATTTGGTATTTAGAGAGTGGAAATGGAAAGTAAAAGTTGTGTGTGTGTGTATAGGTACACACACACACACACACACACACACACACACACACACACACACACCCCTATTCAGTTTGGGCCATGTGGACTTTTAAACCACGAAAAGAAGAATGTCCAGAGATAGTTTTAAATTTTAATAAACTACTAATATTTCTTGCCCCATTTCCTTCCGTGAGATGAGAATATAAGTGCTGTTATTTTGAAGATACTTTATAAAAATAAGATTGTGTGATCTTACTAGAAAAACTGATAGAACTTAAAAAAAAAAAAAGCTACCGTGTGGGAGAAGAAAAGGATTTGGAAGAATAGTGAATAGTGCAGCATTAAGGAAGCTAAAATAGAATGGTTTTGAGGGATTTTGAAAGCTTTGTGATAAAACGGAACACTAGTTACTGAAGAAAGACTGTTTGATCTTGTGAAGCGTTGTGATGTTATAAGAAAGTGGATTTTACCTGGTGACCTGCTTTTAATGATCTCTGCTTCATCCTGGTTGATTTAACTTTTATAATCCTTCTAAAAGGTGAAAGCAGTGATGCTAAGAATTTGCCTTATTTATGAGCATATCTGTGATATTGTTCCCTTAGAAGCTTTTGTTTTTGTGATTATGCAGCAGGGATTGTAGCTTTTGTGTGAAGTGTAGAATCTGCAGTCAATAGGCGCACCAAATTCCAGAGTGGTTGGAAGGTTTTCTGACAAGTACATTTTGTGAATCCTTTGCATGGTCTCACCTTCCTGGAAATGGCATAATGTCTAGAAGAAATCTTAAACGCAGGGTGCCCTCCGGTGCCAAGTCAGCAGGCTGAGTTGGAAGTTGCTTAGTTACTAAGCGTTGATTTTGTTATGACTGGGCTCTTGGGAGTTTCATTTTCAGGGTACCTTACGCATTCTTCAGGTATCTTAGTAATTCAAACTGCTTTATTAAGAATACTGTTTTCATCACATTTGCATATTTGCTTTTAGCTAACTATAGATAGACTTTTCTGAATTATATCAAGGCTCTATTTATCAGTTACTTTGCTTGAACCCAGGAACTTACTTGGGAACTTTAAATTGTGCTTCTTAAAGTTAATGAATAAAATGAAATTAAAATACCTGTCTTCTGCTCTGATGAATATTCCTTGCTTGCCATTGCTTTTACCTTAATACTGATATATGTAAAGTGTTTTGTAGGAAGCTTGGTTTGTGCCTAACACATCAACTTCATTTCAATGCAGGCAGCATTGCCCACTGGGTGGAGTCATTAAAAAATATACACCTTCCTTTTCCTCATGATTGCTTTGGTTTGTAAAATTGGAGTTACTTCATCCATAATATCGAATGGAATTTGATGGATGGCAGGGAATCTGCCATCAATGAACTGTACAACATTTTCAGTGTTGTATAGAATCAGGATTCGAACCCAGGTTTCCTGATTCTGCTTATTGAGAGTGTGTTCAGGTTAATAATATTACCTTTTGCCCATTAACCACCAGTATGCACATCTTCTCTCTCAACTTATTTCCATGTGCTTGTCCCAGAGAAATGGGAAATGTTGACTAAACAAGAATTCTGGAGTACCTAAACCCCAGACCCAAAGCCCGTTCACATGAATGTGTGTGCCATTTTGTAGGAAAACAATTGCTGAGATGATTTGGTCCGTATTTAAGAATTTAGGCTAATTTCATTTTTTTCCCAAAAATATCAGCAGGTCATTCCAAATCCATGTTTGGGGAATGTGATGGTAATTAAACTCAATCTTAACGCCTTTTTTTCTTTTTTAAAGATTTATTTATTGAAAAGTCAGATATACAGAGAAGAGGAGAGACAGAGGAAGATCTTCTTTCCGATGAGTCACTCCCCAAGTGAGCTCAACGGCCGATGCTATGCCGATCCGAAGCCAGGAGCCAGGAATTTCTTCCAGGTCTCCCACAGGGTGCAGGGTCCCAAAGCTTTGGGCCGTCCTCGACTGCTTTTCCAGGCCACAAGCGGGGAGCTGGATGGGAAGTGGAGCTGCCGGGATTACAACTGGCACCCATATGGGATCCCGGCGCGTTCAAGGTGAGGACTTTAGCCACTAGGCCATCGTGCCGGGCCCAACTCCTTTTTTTTTGACATCCCTGCATTCCAGCTTGTGTTGAGGTAAACAGACTTTTGATGAGGAGCCACTATGTTATTTTTGATACTTTAGGATGTTCACCACAAGGTGTCAATGTTGTTCTTTATATGGCATTTGAAATTCCATTCATTTTTAATTGTGGGTGACAAAAGTATAAGACTTGAATGGAGTATGATGTACTATAGAATGAGCATGTAGCTTTTCAAACTTACCTTTTGGAAATGCTTATATTCTAGATTGAAGAATATAAGCTTATTAGATAACTTTTTTCTTTTGGTTCTTTCATTAAATTTTTGAAAAATATGAGGCAGAGGGTCCAGCACAGTAGCCTAGTGGCTAATGTCTTCATCTTGCACATGGTGGAATCCCATAATGGGCACTGGTTCTGATCCTGGCAGCTCCAATTCGCATCCAGCTCCCTGCTTGTGGCCTGAGCAAGCAATTGAGGACGGACCAAAACCTTGGGACCTTGCCACCCATTTGGGAGACCCAGAAGAATCTCCTGGCTTTGGATTGGAGCCCAGCTCCAGCCGTTTGCGGCCACTTGAGGAGTTAAGTCAGTGGATGGAAAATCTTCCTGTCTGTCTCTCTTCCTCTCTGTATATTTGAATTTCAATATCTGACCTTCCAATAAAAATAAAAATAATTTTTTTTAATGGAGAAAACAGATGAGGCACTCCAAAAGCCTTGGGACCCTGCAATTTTGTGGGAGACCCAGAAGAAATTCCTGGCTCCTGGCTTCTGATCACTCAGCTTTTGCCATTGCAGTCATTGAGGGAGTGAACCAGCAGATGGAAGATCTTTCTCTTTGTTTCTCCTTCTCTGTGTAGATCTGCCTTTCCATTTTTTAAAAAATAATTTTGTTGATGATAAGGAGCTATTGAAATATTGTAAACAGAGGTATGACTGGGTCAAGTTGGCGGTTTGGAATTCTAACTTGAGTGAGCCTGAGGAATAAGCCAGGAAGCCTGCCTAATCCTGCCTATTTTCTGAAATGGAAAGATGATTTTTATATTAAAAAATTGCTCTTTTTCATACTTTCTAAAAGAGCTAGATGTTTTATTGGGAGGCAAGTGCGTCTTCAACCCACTTCCCCTTCTGAAATGTCCATCTACCAGTTTAGTAAGAAGGCGTCCAGTGGAAAATTTAGGACTTTGGTCTTCCATCTAGGTTCCAGTCCTGAAGCTACCATGTGTAGTTAGATGGAATGTAGAACTTGGGGCAAACTATTTTAACTTTTGTATAACTCAGGCTAATTTTGTCAGAGGGGGATTTTATTTCTCTCATCCCATTAGGAATACTGTGAGAATTTTACAAAATAAAATATTTCAAAGATTGTGGGCCAGTTGCAGCGTGCAGCAGACATTCAATGGACAGCAGTTTTCTTCTGTGCTTTCATGCCCTCATCTTGGAAAACTAGCTTTGTCTGTTAAGTCAGTGTTCCATTGCCTTGCAGCAACTAAACTTTTTCACTTTTTGGTGAAATTTCCCTTTCCCTTCTTGCCATTGTAATGTTTGCCATCTCTGCTTTTTTGTTTTATTTTGTTTTTTCTATTTATTATTTCATTTTATGACACAGTTCCAAAGGCCCTGGAATTCCCCCAAGCTTTCCCCCCATATTGAATTCTTCCATATTGTTATAGTACTACAGTTCATAACCAGTCATGATTCCTTCA